CGCGAGTATTTCACCGTCACCTACAAAGCTTGTACTACGAACTTTATTAAAGTTTCTCATATGCGTTCTATAGCATTTTCGTTCAATAGAAATTTGTTTAGAACACCAAGTGATACAACGCGACATGCAATGTAACATTCGTTTCGTGTTTTCCGATGAACTTTTCAAGTTATGTATATTGCTTTACACTCTTGCAGTGTTTTAGCAAAAAGTTGTACAGTGTAACACCGAGGGTGTTACAACAGCCATATTATCATCACTCCTAGCATGCCAGTCACCTCGAACCTACTCCAGAAATCATAACTATTACTCTTGTTATGAAATAGTTGAATGTTGCTAGAAGCCATAACTAAATAAGTACAGAACAAATCAGGCAAGAAGCCAGAAGTAAGCATATTTCATTCATATACTCACTTCACTATCGTGTAATGTTTCCGGATCGCTGACTTTGGGATGCTCACACGGTCTTGTTTCTTCGAAAATGTTAGTCGGTGTGAGTAAACAAGATAATTGTCCAATACTGCATATAAAGAGTGTAATGGACAACATATTGCAAATCTAGAGATGCATATGGGCCAACGATGCGCTTACCGGAAGACACGATAGGAAGGACCATGAGGTGTACACAATGCCAGACCTAATAATTTCTATAAAAAAACAAGTCAAGTAGTAAGCATGATGCATGCAAAACACAAAAAGATCAAGAAAATCAACACTAGAATAGACTATAAGGATGCATCCGATGGCAAACTTAAAAACAACATCCGAGGCGCAAATGTCACTATGTCGAGCGAGGCAAGCAAAACCATGTTGAATCAGACTCATTCAGATTAACTTCATAATTGAAAATGAAGCTAAAAATTGTGTTCTTGGTAGAAACACATCGTTATCAATTTTCTAGAATCGACCTAACAATCGATGGTAGGAAAGAGAATGGAATATAAATGCTTAAACCGAAAACATATAGGGACGAAAAAAGGCCTATTAAGATAAGTCTATTTCAAGTGTACATGCTCGCATCAATGATCGGGAGAAAAGGCCCCGTGAAAAATGAAGTCACAGTCTACCTGATCTAGGACATAATCGTGTCAAAGAATAGCGGAAATTGTAGATCTGCACTCATAAAGCTAGGAGCATGCAAGTGCTGAAAACTTCTCTAGGCAGCCCAGAACGTGATACTCACCGGTGAGCAAGCGATGGATCGGAACACGCTGACGAAGTCATTGCGACATCGCGAGCCCTGCAAACCGCATGAATATGTATGAGTAGTACGAGAAAAGAAACAAGACCCACCTACTTTAATTTACTCAGCATTCGGCACCTGCGAATGAAGCTCGCCGGCCAAGAACACGAATCCAAGCCGTGTCTTCTCTAGATCCAGCCACGCCTTCCCCCCATCCGTCACCTCAGGGTCCGTCCAGTGGCCGTGTAGCCATGGCCGGCGTTGCCATGGCCTTCTATGGATCTGGCCACAACCCATAACCTCCACGACAGATCTTAAGGTTTTGATATTGGATGCCCACCTCGGAGCCCTCCACCTCCATGGGAGCTACCGCGCCCCCATCGAGGCCGGTGAAGCCAGCGCCAACCAGGAATGCCACGGTGAGCACAAGCAATGACGCGACCGCCATCATGACAGCGAGCGCACGCAGCTCGACACAGGTGGAGAGACCGACACAGGGTGGCGGCGCCCATGATGCCGTGGCCTCGGCGAGGATCACAAACGCAGCGCTTGGGAGGGAGTGGTGGGACGGAGGTACCAGAAATTTTACAGTGAAATTTTACTAAGATATCAGGTTATTATACTAAGATATGAGAAATTTTACAATTGTTGGAAAAAAAATAGGGACCATCCCTCCAAAGAAATCAAACAGTGAAAAAACAGGAGGTACCAAAGTAAAAATACTTAGAAGTACCAGAAAGGTGGGGATAATACTAAAATAGGTGGGGATAGAACCAAAATATATGGGATCAAATTTTAATTTTTATTAATTAATTAAATTCCATAAAGGATCCATGAGGGGTATTGCTGTAATCTCACATTAGTCGTCTCCTCCGTCATGCGTTGACGATGAGAGCGGCGGCAGCCGCACCCAGAAGCAGCCCGTGCCGCCGGCCGCCTGTTGGGTGGACGACATCTGCATGCTAAGGATCGATGAATCGATCAGTTCGTGCGCGTCGTCACCGCCGTCCAGGCCAAAGGCATGCAGCCCGACCTCATCAACCAGGAGAGTCCTGCGTCGTGTGGCGGCATGTGCTTGGTGCTCCACATGGTCATTGCCGGCGAGGGCGATAACATGCAGACGGAAACGGCTAGTGAGCAGCGGATGGTCGTTGAGAGCCTGATCAGCATCATCCCCGCAAAAGGATTGCGTCTCGTGCAGCTTGGCTGCTCCGCCTGGCCGTCGTCCTCAAGGTGTCATCGAGTTGTACCTGAAGGGGCGACAGAGCATGAGCGGAAGCGGCTGTGATGGGCACTGGACTGCGGAAAGCTGTCGCGGGAGGTGCACGCACGCGGCGCAGAACGAACGGCCGGCTGCCGCTCCGCGTCGTGATGCAGGTGCTACTGTCAGAGCAGGCAAAGATGCCCGACGCCCCACAGGAACTGCTGGCAAACGACTAGGTACATTTGCGTACAACTGCTGTCAGCCCTTGGATCTGATCTGAATGGAAGCGTGCAATATATTTCTCAATTACTAAAATACCCACTATAATATATTTCTCAATTAATTACTTAAATAAAAAATAGAAAAAGATGAAAGTAGCTGGAGGCACATGGTCCTTTTCCAAACATCAGAAAAGATCTCCTAAGGTCTTGTTTAGATTGGGGTTAGGAATCAGTATTTGACACTGTAGCATTTTCGTTTGTATTTGACAATTATTGTCCAATCATAGCCTAACTAGGCTCAAAAGATTCATCTCGTAATTTACAATCAAACTGTGTAATTAGTTATTTTTTATCTACATTTAATACTCCATGTGTTCAAAGATTTAATGTAATAGAGAGAGTAAAAAAACTTGTAATCTAAACCAGGCCTAAGATATTGTTGAGGACCCTGGAGTTGGCTCTTAATCCGTGCCAAAGGGCCACCGCGCGTACTTCTTCCGGGTCAAAGAAAAACTACGAAACGACAAAATGAAAGACTTTTTTCATGTTAATGGCGACACATGACAATATGACATGTTACAATCTGGAGTGCTTCGCAGCGGTCACAATCAGTGGTCACAAGGAACAGTTCATTTGCCTGCAGGTTGCAGGAGCAGGACAAGGTCTTGAGCTATGATATTGCTATATTTGTTTGGCTGATAAGATATAATTAAAAATACTATTACCTAATTTATTATGAGAAAAAAATACTATTTATTGACTGAAAAGTACTCCTCGTAAGGCAATCGAAATATCATTTCGGATGCAGCTCGTTCAGCTATCATTGAGAGGGTCAAGACAGCTCATTGTGAGTCTTCTCATGGATTGACAACACCAAGTCACCAAACTGTCCCAACGTCTCGACTCTTGAGTAATCGAGCCATCACAATCGGAATGCCATTTCTGAATTCGGATGCAACTCGTTGAGATATCATTAAGATTTAGGGGGTGTATGATGTAGGGACTAAAATTTAAGAGGTGTCACATCAGATGTCACGTGGGGTGTTCGAATACTAATAAAAAAATAAATTACAGAAGTCCTCAGTAATCCACGAGACGAATTTATTAAGCCTAATTAATCTGTCATTAGTACATGTTTACTGTAGCACAATATTGTCAAATTATGAGCTAATTAGGCTTAATAAATTCATTTCACAAATTAGTCTCAATCTGTGTATTTAGTTTCATAAATAATCTATATTTAATATTCTATGTATATATCAAACATCTAATGGGACATCGACTAAAGTTTAGGAGGTCCAAACGCCCTTAAGCTGCTTACCTTGAGGTCCGGAATTTACCCATGGATTGACAGCACCAAGTCACCAAACTGTCGTGATAGTGACGCGCAAATGGCTAAACAGTGTTCGTTTCAAGAAAAAAAGGCTGAACAGTAGTTTCCTTTCTTGACAGCACCAAGTCACCAAACTGTGCCGAGGAACTGGCAGGTTGGGCTGGGCCTTGGATGGTATCGAGAGTGACGCTGTAACGAAAAAACCCGCAGTAACTAATACTAACACGTTCCACTAAAAAAAACTAATACTAATACGTCCGCACTATAATAACTGTACTAATACGCGCGCCCTGACTTTGCATTGGTTGAGTTAATCAGTGTTTGACAAAGTAAAACATCCGGTCTTCGGAGTTTACACATGGACATATCAGAGCTTTTAAATTTTATATATAAAGTTTCAGGCATTAGGCAGAGTCAGATATTATCACATATACATGATGTATAAGAGGAAGACAAACCTGCTACATAATGAAAGAAAAAGGTCATCACAGTTACAAAGAGACCCTTAAAATGCGTATAATAGGTTGGCTTCATGTGTTTTTAACCATGACATGGGAGGGTAATAGAGAAGTAGGTTAAGGGTGTTTTTTGGGTTAAATTTTTATGTAATGGCAGTGGTGGGTATTTATCAATATGTATAGTTTTTCTTTCTTCGATTAATGTGTTAGTTTGTAGCCTTGTGAGATGTAACAAATAGCCGGCTATAGCTGCCGCTATAACCAGCTATATTGTTACATTGAATTTAGCTCCTTTAGCCTGCTATAACGTTTTTAGCCTTAGAAGAACCTTGCCGCTAACTGCCTATAGCCCGCTATTTTAAACAATGAAATTAACACAAAGATTTCTTTTGTTGACGAAAACTAATCAATAAGATAATAGTAGCATATAGATTGGTAGACTTTTACAAGTGGGAACGTGCGTGGCCAGATTTCCTAAAAAAAAAGAACTCCCCAAAAATAAAGGAGAATTATTTGCCACGCTGACTGTGATGGTCGCCAGCCGGTCTCGCCAGCAGATCCGATCAAATTATTTGCAGGCTCCCGGGCTTAATTGCCATGTTCAGATGGCAGCTTCGCCTTCTTCCGACTTTGCTATTGTTTCTTCAATCGAAGTCTTTGATGGGAGCACGCAGTTTCCGTACTCTGTAGTAAAGACAGCCGAACAGACAACACTGTGAGATTGAGATTACATGCAGTAGCTACGGCGAGAGGAAATGACTGACTGAAAGTGTGAACTCACTTGGTGCTTGGTAGACGACGGAGGCGGCTCCGGCGAAGTCGCACGTCCCGCTTGCCCGATGATTGTGCTGGTAGTAGCTGTTGAACGCGTATGAGGCATGGGCGACCATGGTGTTGGGCTCGAAGCACGGCGCTCCCGGCTGGATGGCGCTGCAGTCCGCGCCGTTGGCACAGGCATAGCTCAACCCATCCAGGAGCCGCGCGTCCCCGACCGCCGCGTTCGCCACGCACCAGCTCGCGTTCGGGTCGCAGGTGCCTTCAGTTTCAGTTCACAACACCAGGTGATCAGATGATGACCGGATCAGCATTATTTGCACGTTTGCAATCTGCATGATCGACAAATAAGACCTGAAAGCAGCAGACAACTCTCGACTCACCAGCTGGTTCTTGGTAGACGATGTAAGCGGCGCCGTTGAAGTCGCACGTCCCATTGGCGCGGCCGTTCCGCTGGTAGTAGCTGTTGAACGCGTACGAGGCGTGCGCGAGCCTGGTGTCTGGCTCGAAGCACACCGCGCCGGGCTGGATGGCGCCGCAGTCGGCGCCATGTCCGCACGCGTACTCGAGCGCTGCCTGCAGCCACGAGTCCCCGACCGACGCGTTCGCCACGCACCAGCTCTCCGCCGCCGGCGCCGGCGGCGGGCTGCCGCCGCCGCGGAAGTCGAACTCGTACACCTTCTGCATGTTGGGGTAGAAGAGGCCGAAGTTGGCCTCGACGTCGTCCGGCCCGGAACCCTTACCGTTCTCGTTGAACAGAGCGAAGATGTACACGTCCATGTCGGCGTCGGGGCGGAGAAACGCTATTACTATTCGTCTATTTCGAAGCATGCTATTATAATTATTCGTTTCCTACAAAAATGTCACTGAATATGTATGGACATAGCATGGGCCCAGCTACAGGCGTATACGAAGACGTATACTTCATCTCCCCTGTCACTGACACGCGGGCCCCACATGTCATCTTCTTTCTCCTCTCATCTCTCTCCGGCTCGGGACACAGTGGCCGCTCGGGACCTGGACAGGAGCTTGCCGGCGCGGGCGTGCTCGGCACCGATGGCGAGGGCGAGCTCTACTCGCGTTGTACGCACACGCAAGGCCTTGGCAGAGGCGAGCACAACCTCTACTCGAGCTCCAGCCATGGGGGAGGGGCGAGCTTGGACCTGGCGGCCACGGCGAGATCAGCACGGCTGCGGGCAAGCTCGGCCCCGGTGGCCATGGCGAGCTCAGCGCCAACGCAGACGGCCCCAGCGAGTTCGGCCCCGGCGGCCATGGCAAGCTCGACGTCGGTGGCCATGGGGAGCTCGGCCCCGGTCATGGCGAGCTCGACGTCGGTGGCCAAGTAGGGGTAGAGGTTGATGGTGAGGTAGGAGCCGGTCCGCTGCAGGAACTCGAGCATGGGCCTCATCACCGGCTACGCGATGTCGTCCCGGAACCTGCCCCTGGACGGCGGGAACGAGTCGGTCACCGCGGCGAAGGACAGCGGCGTGGACACCATGATGGCGTCAGCGAGTCCCAGCTGCGCCAGCGCGGCCTGCACGTTGGTCATGGCGGGGACGAGCAGCGGCGTCAGGTCCGGCCTCGAGTCGAACACCTCGTTGCCCACGGAGACGGCATGGATCCGCGTGGCGGGGAGGTACGCCGCCACGCTGCGCCGCGCCCAGTCGGCCGCGTACGACGGGCTCCGCGCGGCGTCGGCCAGGTTCTCGTTGGGCAGCATCAACATGAGCTTGATGCCGGTGTTGGCGAACGACCTCAGCACCGCGTCGTTGGTGTCGTATATCCGCACCATGGTGATGCCGTTCTCCCTGAGCAGCTGCACCACCGCCGCCGGGTCCGGCAGGTCGTTCGCCACCCTGCCGTAGTTCACGCCCACCTCGCGCGCCTCTGAAAGCAGCAGCAGTTAGCAGAACATATCATTGCGAACTGCGAATACCTGCAGCTGCAACTCGATCGCCACCATTTTCAGAACAGCAATAATGCATCTATGTGTTTACCTGCAGTGAGGCACAAGAGCAGAGGCAATGTGGCGGCGCCGAGGAGGAGAACGAGGCGGCAGGTGAGCGCCATGCTCGATCTCCCGTAGTACCGAGAGCGAGAGAGGCAGACAGAGCAAGACGGAAAGACGAAGCGAGTAAGGAACCTGCCTAAGGGCCTGCGTACGGCAGTATTATTGTTGTCAGTTGGCCAGTTGGCTTCATCTGCTGATCTGAAGATTTTTTAGAACAAGCTGATCTGAAGATATAGAGATAATGGCCCCGTTTGGATCCATGGGTTAGAGCTAGTTTGGGCTAGTTGGAGCTCAACTAGCCCTAAAGTAGCCAAACAGGAGGGCTAGAGTGGGTTATTTGCAACTAACCCACCCTAAAAAACTATCCCCCCAAAGAGGTGATTATTTGGGCTAGTTGGGGCTATTTGAGGTGGGATCCACTGTTTTCTCTCTACTTTCACCTGCATCAATGATTTGGAAAGCACATTTATTATCATTTTAACCCTTGTATCCAAACATCTCTTAGGCTAGAGTTAGTTCATGGCTAGTCCTGAGCTAGAAACTAACTCTAACCTCTAGCTGTGCTAGAGTATCTAGACAGGGCCAACGAAGAAAACAAAGTCATAGTTGGCTTGTAATAAGGACTGCAGCAGGAGGAAGGTGCTGGTTTCCACTTTACAGCGAGGCGTGACACCCAATTGGCTGGTCGATCGGAGCAAGCAGGTTGTGACGTCAAGTCGTCGTTAACCTGCTTCTCAGCTTGGCAAGTCGATTCCCCACTTGTATACGAGGAAAATCGCAAAATATTTTGGTGCATGCACCGAGCAGATCAGCTGAGTCAGCTCCGAGATTTCTCTTCACCTCTGCGAGATCTGCAGCCAGCCTGACATAAATGCCCTTGGCCTCCAGCTTTCGTTTCGGGTCGTCTCCCTTTCGAGCTTGGCCTGGAGGGAGCTGATCTTCTACTGCGCATCGTCGCGCTCATGGCAGACTTGGTCATGCTCTCAGAAAGCCTGGTCGTGCTCCTCCCGAGCCGTGCCGCGTTCCGAGCAAAGCCTCTCCGCGGTTTGGTTTAGCTCATCCCGCTCCTTGCGTAGCCAAGCGACCGCCGTGGCATCCCGGCTCGCCCTTTTCTCCAAGGCCGCGAGCTTCTCCTCGGCCCCCAGCTTCAGATCCCTTTCTTTCTCAACCTCGCCTAGAAGGTCAAGGATCCGCTGACGGGTTTCGATGTCTTTCTAGAATAGCTCATCCCGCACCTTCCTGACCCTGGCGGCTTCTTCGACATCCTTCCGCGACCTCACCAACAGGGCCTCGAACGCCTTCTCGGTCTCGTCAGCATCCCAACGGGCCTCAGCCACCCGCGACCGAAGATTGACCGCCTCCTCGGTGAGGGGAGTCAGCTCAACCGCCCTCTGCTGGGCGACAGCGAGCTGAGTTGTCACCTCCCCGCGTAGCCGCGCCTCCTCGACGAGGCGGTCCCAGGCTTCCTTCTGTTGACAAAGGAACCGAGATTTCCCCCGGCTGTGAGCTATAAAGGACTGCAGCGAGACGATGGTAAGGATACAAAAATATATATAGAGGAAGAAAAGGGTAAGAAGCAGGACCGAGCAATACCCGGCCGGAGGGAACAACAACGTCGCACAATGCGCCCCTGGCGTAGTCCAGGGCCTCGAGCACGGACGCGATCCCTACGTCGAGGCTCTCCGGCTCCATGCTCTCTGCGGCGTTGTCAAGGGTAAAAAATGTCGACACCAGATCCTGCTGGTTCGTCCACTGGAGCAGGGGCTCGCCCTGCACGGGCGAGCCACTGCCCACCCAGGTCAGGGTCAGGGACGACTCCCCGCCGGCCCCAAGCACCGCCGACCCCTCTCGTCGTGACGTCCCCGCCGGGATGCCCCCTCCGGTGACGGAAGGGGTCAGCCGTGCGGACGCGAGCCTCTCTCCTAGCACCACGACTCTCGGGGACCCCTCAGCCGCGTCCCCCTCCATCCGGCCCACGCCAGGCAACCTCGCTTGGGCCGCCGATAGCACGGGTCGTGCCGATGCCTTAGGCAACGCTGCAGTCACGCTCGGCTGTGACCCATCTGTCACGGGCGCCGCCACCTCCACCTGCGTCGGTGGGGTCACAACCGGCTGCATCGCGCCCGCCATGGTCGGTGCCACGAGCGTGGTCGGCAGCCCCATCCGCCCCGTCATCGGCAGCGGTATCGCGACCGTCACCAGCTGCTCCGCGACCGCCGAAGGCGCCAGTTGAACGCCCGCGTCCGCCCGTACCGCCGAGGGCACCAGCGTCGCCACGGGTGGCGCCTGATTGGCCGGCGACACGGTCACACCAGCGCTGCTCCTGCCCGAAATAGGCGCGACATCAACTAACGGCCGCCGCCCCGATTGGAGGGCGATGCTCTTCTTCAGTGCCGGCGCCAAAGGATTCCGCTGCCTGCCGATGCTGCAAAGGACGAAAAATATAAGTCATAATGAAATCTGACTAAAATAGGAAAAAACAGAGGAATCGATAACTCACCTCAGCGTCGTTGGGCGACAGATGCGTTTGGGGGACGAATCCCCTGACCCCTGCTCCATCTCATCGATACGAGGCTGTTTTGAGCCCGCCCTCTGCTCCTAGGAAGAGGGGCTCGCCCTTGACAGCTCATGGGGCGCGATAGCGGAGCCGCCCGCCTCTACTGGCTCCTGGGGCACGACGACGATAGAGCCGCCCACCTTTGTTGGCTCCTAGGGTAGGCCGGTGGTGCGTCCCGCCTCCGTTGTTTCTTGGGGGCGTCGTTGGAACGGCCCTCCCCCGCCGGCTCCCCAGACATGCCCTCCCCTCCGTGAAATGGGAAGGGTCCTGACGCCTACAAGGACGAACCAATGCCTGTCAGCACGTCCTCGTGTTCCAGGTTGTCCCACTCGATGTCGTTAGCTACCGTTTCCCCTTCCTTCGGCTCCTTGTTGTCGTCATCATCGTTGGTGTCCTCTCCTCGCTCTCACGCCCGTAGCCTCCTTTGCTGCTCCCTCCTCTTGTCCTCCTTCGCCGCTCGTTCTTGGCGTGGTTCGTCGCCCTCACGGTCGGGTCCCTCGGCAACGGCGTCGGATGGTCCGTGAGGACGAGATCCCTCGGCTGGCCCCATCCCCTCTCAAGGTCAGATTAACAAGGTCAGGAAATTAATCGTAAAAGAAGAGGTAGGAGAGAGGGAGACTTACGAACTGCACGAAACCCGGTTTCGGACGCATCGGAGGATGTCCCGGCACTGGGTAGACGAAGTCAAGGATGGCGCCCGTGTCGTCCGGCGGAGGCTCCATCGCCTCCTTGATGTGTTGCATGATCTCAGAGTTGGGGATCGCCTCCTCGACGAGCGCTGTTCCCTCGAGCTATGCGTTCAGCGCCATCAGGTATAGTGGAAGCACGTGTACCATCAATGGCGCCACCCTCCTTGCGTGGTACGCCCCGATGATGCCGGACCGCTTCAGGCCATCCTCCCTCAGGATCCTGATGGTGGTGACATGATCCCAGATCTTCTTCTTGTCCTTCTCCGGAATGCCCCACTTCCTCCACTGGTCTGGGGCCTCTTCAATCAGGCGCCTGGAGAACTCTATCAAAGGGGCGGTAGTGTCGTTCTTCAAGTAGAACCACTGCGAGTGCCACCCCTTGTTGGACGTCGACAGACACATGGACGGGTACTCTCCCGACCGGTTGTTCCGGAGTTGGATGCTGGCGCACCCCATCGGCGTGTGCAGCTCCGACCGTCCCTTCTCCCTCTTCTTCTGGAGGTTGACGGCGAAGAAGTGTCTCCACAGATCGAAGTGGGGACTGATCCCCAAGAATCCTTCACACAACGCGACGAAAGTCGCCATGTGTTGGATCCCATTGGGGTTGAGGTGCTGCAACTCGATGTTGTAATAGGACAACAGCCCCTGGAGGAATCGATGGGCGGGGGTCGCGAGCCCCCGCTCGTGGAAGTGGGTGAATGACACCACATAGCCGTCGGGCGGCGATGGCACATCCTCATTGCCGGGCAGCACCCACTCCGCAGCCATGGTCCGTGCGCAGAGGTGGCCACGGTGGATGAGGCCCTCCATTCGTGCGAATGAGATGTTAGAGGGGCACCACGGATCCATTAGAGGCAGGGGCGGATGAATGCGAGCTCAATGGCGGCGGAGATGCGGAGGCAGGAAGCCCTAGCTTGACGGCGGCGGAGATGCAGACGCAAGAAACCTAAGCATTGGCGGTGGCGGCATGGCTGCGGAGGTAAGGATGCAAGCGTGCGTATGAAACACGGAGGGCTAACCCTTTGGTTTTATAGGGGCGACGGGTGCGAGGAAACCAACCGCCCGCCTAGATCTCCGCTCCCACCATGACCTGTCACCATGTCTCGTCGTGGGGCGTGCGCACGCCACCTCTAGCCATCCACTCAGAAAACACGCCGGACGTTTCTCCTCCCCGAACGGGCCACGACCCATCAGAGGTAAGTGGGATATGGAGCGGAAAACACTCCTACGGCCCGTCTAGGACCAAGAGTTCAAAGGTAGGCCCACCAACTAGTTCGACAACCACTCCGGGCACCTTTAGAGTGAGGGGTGGAAAGGGATGGGTCCGCTAGCGGCCAGTACCTGGGCGCACGAGCGCCACGGGCATCCTAGCCTACGTTCGAGTCTCAGCCAGATACATTCCGTGGTTTTTCCTCAAAGAAAGGCAGAGAGCCCCCGGGACCGGTCGAACGAACCCGAGAACTATATGGAGTAACCGCTGAGAATCTATTGTCGGTGACCAGCTGACCCAAGCCAGACTCCCACGAACGAGATGTCAGGACCCCACTCGGACTAGTCCGTTAACAGCTCACCGAGCACCATGATTCGTCCATAGAGGCAAATCATGGCACGTCTCAGCTCCTCCGTTTTTATCGGAAAAAACACTTGCGGGAGGACGATCTCAAAGACGAGCCGACCCTCGATCGGACCCCTACTACGTCCGGGGGCTCAAGAAAAGTTGGACTCGCAAGGAGACCGAACGCGCGGTCGCATAACGATGAAAGGTCAATCGGACCCCCGTAGGGGTCAGAATTAGGAAAGACCTTTTTCGACC